GTCCAGGAATCTTTAAGGGATCGAGATCCAGAATTTTTCTCTTTATTTTCTCGACCGTGAAGAGATAATCGGAGAGATGTGTTCCAAGAGGGACTGAGTAATAATTATTGAAGGGTGTGGCAAACAGTTCAGCAATCTGTTGAGGGTTCGAAGAACGGATATTGTTAAAGTGCAACTGATTGGGCAAGCCTGCATCTTATAAATGTCCAGAAGTGTTTCACATTATTTGACGGAATTAAATTCTGAGTTTTGGTAACATGCAACAGGTAGCACATGTCACTATGGTACTTCACGTCTTTCCGGGCTTCAGAGTAAGCTTTATAGTCCGTTTGCAGTCTTGATCTTCTGTACAGGGTGTTTCCTTAGATTTTGACCCCTACCTACAGTTTCAGGTATACAAGGTGGAGAAAAACTTTAAACATGAAAGTTGTAGAGTTTTTTGTCTATTATTTTTTGCGAATGTCAAAACGGGCAAATGACAAGTGCCCACTGTGACAAAAGACAAACTCTTGCATTTTTAAAATGGAACACCCTGTATATTTTTGGCCAGAATGATAGCTTTTTTCTACTGATTCCGAATATACCATACATGTTGATATTTGGTTCAGTTGTTTTTGCGCTATTCAATTTTAAAATTGCATTGAGCAAGCCTCATCATTGATATAAGGAACCAGGGCAGATGAAATTAAGGGTAATGTGAATGCATTTTTAAAGTTCAATAGCGTAAAAACAGCTGAACCAAATATCAACATATATGATATATTCGGAATCAGAAGAAAAAAATCTATCATTCTAGTCAAAAATATACAGGGTGTTCCATTTAATAAATGCAAGTGTTTGTCATTGTGACAGTTGGCACCTGTCATTTGAACATTTTGACATTCGCAAAAGATAATAAACATAAAACCCTATAACTTTCATATTAAAAGTTTTTTAGGTATAGGGGTCAAAATATAAGGAAACACCCTGTACTTCTTATAGAGTCGATTTTTGTGCAAATTTTGATTATTTCTTGTCGAATAATTATGATTTTCACAATTCAATACAATGAATTTTTTCAAATGTCTTGAGCAAATTATTTGCATTATACAGGGTTAGTAAAAAGTACTGTAACCCTTCAATATCTTCAAAACCCCTTAAGCTGCGTTCACACAATTCGGCATCTGACAGGTTTTGGGCATGCGGGATTGAACAGTGGGATCGGCAATGTAGTCAGATTTCCCAATTTTGCGCTACACGTAGTCTTGTTATCTTAAATAGAATGCAACATTTATTTTCATTGCAGTGAATTGGGCGTGCCAAAGGACCCCGCACACCTTATATGGGATTTTGGCGATCGGTCGATTTTTTTCAAATTTTTGATATGTTGTATAGGATTTATTTCTTAACAAGCTTTAAATGGGACGAAATCTTGTAGGTATTACGATCTTTGAGATATGAGCGTTGAAAGATGAACTTTTTTGCGACTTTTTGTGTGGAGAGTATACGAAATACTAGTGTTTATAAGTCAAAATATTGACAGGTTCACATATTTTACGTCACTAAACATTTGTCAACATGGGCTAAGGGCGGGGTAACACTGGCTCCACCATTGACCCCAGTGGGGTCCCGGCCTTAGCCTATGTTGACATTAATTTGTAACTGACGTAAAATATGTGAACCTGTCAATATTTTGACTGATAAACACCAGTAGCACCAGTATCTCGTACACTCTCCACACAAAAAGTCGCAAAAAAATTCATCTTTCAACGCTCATATCTCAAAGACCGTAATACCTACAAGATTTCGTCCCATTTAAAGGTTGTTAAGAATTAAATCCTCTACAACATATCAAAATTTGGGAAAAATCGACCGATCGCTGGAATCCTATATAAGGTGTGCGAGGTCCTTTGATAAGAATCCAAATTTTCAAAATTTTATCTCTACAAGTTTCTGAAATATGCCTACACTGTATTTTCACTTCATTAATGAATATCAATTTCAAACTTTCGTTATTAATTTGAGTCTCTACATTCAAATTTTGGGGTTTCCCAGGTTTTCTTTTTCACCTTCTTGTTCATTAAAGTAGTAAATTGAAAAATATCAGTCTTTCAACTCGCAAAACTTTACAATATCCCGCAGCAAAAGGACCCCGCAATATTTAAATGGAAATTGGTTACCCGTGATATTTGGATGAAATTTAAATATGTTATTGGGGATGCCGTAAGCAACATTTTTTACCATGGGCACAACCCTGTATATATGACAGGTGAGGCGTGGTTAGCTGTCAAATATTGGAATCTTATATCCAAAAGCAGAGTAACTATGGCAGATTTTGATGAACAAAAAATCTATTTCTATTAAGTCGACCAAGTTAAGGCGAAAAATGTGAACCATTTTAACACCTGTCAAAACCCTGCCAAACGGTAGCACTCATATTTTCCAGTTTTCAATATTTCATGTTGCCATTTGACATTTTTAACTTATATGTAAATTCTAAATTCAGAAATTGAAAAAAAAAAATGACAGAACTGTCAAAACCTGTCATTTGTTTTAGTAGAAAAAAATACTCTAATCTGGTCCTTTCTCGTTTTAAGGTAGTTTTTTGATGATAAAACATTGAACAAAGTTCATGCACGTCACATTTTGACAGCTGTCATTTTTTTTTTTCAATTTTTGAATTAAGAATTTACATACCGGGTGACAATGAAACTACTACCCATGGCAGCATTTCTTAAGGGCTCGAGATAGAAATATGCACCTCGGTTTGTTGATAAGGTTGAAAATTGGGAACAATTTTAATATAAAAACAATTGAATGTTTTTTCCGGTTTTACCGGAAATGGCAGTTTTTACGTAAACTACAAACAAATAGGAATTACGACATATCTTTGAGCCACTCTATTTTAAAAACTATCAATTTTTGACATAGGGTATGTTTCACAAAAGTTATTTAGAATTGTTCAGAGAGTCCAAAAAAAAAATATATATATATAGGGTGTCCCATTTAAAATAACAAAGTCAATGCCATTTCTGGTGAAACCGGAAAAGACATTCAATTATTTTTATATTAAAATTGTGAACAATTTTCAACCCTATCAACAAACCGAGTTGCATATTTTTATCTGGAACCGTTATGAAATGCGGCCATGGGTAGTAGTTTCATTGTCACCCGGTATAAGTTAAGAATGTCAAATGACAAGATAAAATATTGAAAACTGGAAAAGATGAGTGCTGTCGTTTGGCAGGGTTTTGACAGGTGTTAAAACGGTTGACATTTTTCGACCTAATTTGGTCGACTTGGTGGAAATAGATTTTTTGTTCATCAAACTCTGCCATAGTTACTCTGCTTTTGGATATCAGATTCCAATATTTGACAGCTAACCACGCCTCACCTGTCATATATACAGGGTTGTGCCCAAGGTAAAAAATGTTGCTTACGGCATCCCCAATAACATATTTAAATTTCATCCATATATCACGGGTAAAGGCCGTTTTACAGCTTGCAAGAAAACTTGAATGCAATTTCTTGCATGCAAAAAAATTGCATTCAAGATTTCTTGCACATCGTTTTACACCTTGCAATTTGACTTGTTTCCTTCTCTAACCTTAACCATACTTTTTTGTTTTTAATTAGGCAATTCAATCCATCTGTCAAAATGGAAAATTCAATATGGCGTGGCGGCCAAGCAAGTTTGTTTTGATTATGTTTTTATGCGTTATTTTAAATTATTTTGCTCAGAGTTTTGTTTGCAACTTTGATTTTGATTATTTAATAAAAAATTTGTTGACTAGGTACCTGAACTATTGAATCGGGCAGAAACTAGATATTTTTTTGTGTTTTTTGGCTCATGTGTGGCCGCCACGCCATCCTAATTGTCACGTGGTTTGAATTGCCTAATGTTGTGTTGTTGATGTTTGCATGTTCCAAAAATAAAAAAAGTGATTATAAGTCGATATAAAAAGAAGAAAGCAATAAGAGCAACTTTAAGCATCATAATTGCTAAAAATTCGCAAGCTTGTACGAAAACCTTCAAGAAAAATGGCACCAAACCGATTGCATGCAATGCCATTCAAGTTTCAAGAATCTTGCAGAAAACAATCAGCTGACTCACTTCTGCGCATGCCCTCGTTCAAGTTTCTTGCATATTGCAGATAGAATTGCAAGCTGTAAAACGGCCTTAACCAATTTCCATTTAAATATTGCGGGGTCCTTTGCAATCGTTTTGACAGTTTGACATTTTTTTTATAGTAGTAGGAGCTCTGGCTTCTAGTGACTGCCTACTTCCGTATGAGAAATAAAGCTCCAAAGGTATGTATAACAACCACCCTACTACACAGCGGAAAGTCACTGGTTTTAGTCACAGGTAGAGAAAGTTCAGTTGCGAAAAAAAGAGCCAGGGATCTATTGGTTATGCGAGCGTGGTATTCGGACCCCAAAAAAATAACGAACCAGCTACTATAAATGATCTGATGCTAAAGCCTTTCAAAGAAGATGAAATGCAATGCAGTACATATAGGTATAGTCTGACGGACGAGACTACACCGGCAAATATGCAAACTAATATTTTTATCACGCTCTATGCCATCGCAACTCGCAACTGTGTATTTCCATATCGTTTTTCCTTTCCCTTCACCTCAAACCGAAACGATTTTCTCTCAGTACAGTAGCCAAACTATATGTACGTGTAAGTCGTTGACTCAGAATTGCAAACCGATGATGCAGTCAATTATCCTGTAGAACTACTTAATTCTCTTAACTCAGCTGATCTACCCCTGCACAATCTTATTCTCACAATTGGCGCACCAGTTATGTTATTAAGAAAACTGAAACATCCAAAGTTATGCAATGGTACAAGACTGCAGATGAAGGTTCTTCATCGAAAAATTGTTGTGGCTACTACTCACTGGATGTGCTCAAGGAAAAATTGTATAAAAACGTCGAATATCATTGATACCGACAAACTACTCATTTGAATTGAAAAGACTGCAATTTCCATATAAATTATTGAAAATTCTCACCTGTACAAGTCCAGGTTTTCTTTCGTTCCTCATCGCCGGATCGATCGGAATGAAATTCGGCCTCCAGTTCTTCGTAATGGGAAACTTGATCTTCTGACAGGGCACCGGAGGACGCACAATGGTACTGGACGCCCCCACTTTCTGATTGATTGAAATCAAACCGGGCGGCGCCGCCCCGGCTTTATTTTTAGCCAGATTTTGCAAAATGGTACTGGTAGGGTAAAGCGGTGGCTGATTCAGTTGCTGGAGCGTAATCGGAGTTCTTGAAGTTTGGATCTAGAATTATTCGAAATAATAATCACAATTGATATACTATAAATCAAATTTTTAACAATCTGATGGTATTTTTATTTGTTATTAGTTTTATTATTTGTATTGTTATTTCAATTCTTACCTCATTATCAGGACGTCCCACTTGACTAATAGTTACAGGAGGTAGTCCGTTAGAATTAGACGTATTTCTAAGATTGATTTTGGTAAATTGTATCATACTTGGAGGCTGGGCCTGCCCAACATTGCTCGGTATGTTATCGTAGGCCCTCAGACGATTGTGGACGCTTTCTTTGTAATTGACTGCGCGATTATTGGCCGATGGTGACAACACTAAGTCACCGCTCCTAAATAAAAAAAAAATTGTAAATATTGAGGCTTCATTTCAATAATGTTTGAGAAAGTTGTTACCTGAAATATTTCTCCAACAAAACCAAATGTCGTAAGAAGCTGCTTTTGCTGCCGTAAGGTTTTTGCAGTTCTTCCCATAGCATTTTGGTGTCTTTGTCGTATTGGATGGTGGTGACGCACTTTTCCCAGCCCTCGGGTGTACGGGCCACGACGTTTTTGAAATCAATGTCTCCCACTAGGCCCATTTCTTCTTCGCCTAAAAAAAATTACAAATTTTTTGAATCATGATTGTCTTATTCTTGATCCACTTCCAGAAATTCTAAATTTGTTAGATGCGTTTAAAAATGCTTACAATATTTAGGCCATTTAGGCGTGTTCTAAAATGTTTTCCAAAAAATTCCGCTGCTAATCAACTAGCAAAATAGGCAATCCCATGGTGGAATGACAATGAAACATGTAGATTAGCGATAAAAGAAAGCAAACGGGCTTTCAATAAATTTAAAAAACAAAAATCTCAAGAAAACTGACTAGTTTTTAAATAACTTAGAGCAAGAGCCCGCTTTACAATTAAGAAAAGCTAAGAAGATTCTTGATCCCGATATATGTCTAGCTTTTCTAAGGTGTCTAGCATTACCATAACCACAATACCTCTTCCTCTAAAGTATGTAGCAAAGTTAAACGAATTTCTGGGAAAAATCCGTACTCCTGCAATTCCTTATTTGAGCAATAACAATGATATCATATAACAGATAGTCAAAGCATAGCAAGTAAATACTCTAAAAAATTCATTCAAAACAAATTCCAGCGACATAAATGACGATCCATTATTCGTACAGATGAAAAATAATAAACAAAATCTTTCCTATTTTTATACAAGAAGACAACTCTCCTCTAAATTTGCGAATATCCATATGGGAACTTGAAGACTAAGACCAAACTAAATAAATTTTGTCTTGGTCCCGATGACATCCCTATACTACATTTCTTCAGAATTTGCCAGATGATGCTAAATTTTTTCTCCTGAACCTATACAACTTTAGTTTCCAATATCACAAATGCCCAATTCTATAGTCCAAAGCTATAGTAATACCAATCCTAAAAACAGACAAATCCAATCCATCTTCTCACAGGCCAATCTTTCTCACTTGCATTATGTGCAAGCAACTAGAAAGGATACTCAACAATAGACTTACATGGTACCTTGAACTGAACAACAAATTAGCACCAGAACAAAATTGATTCCGGAAAAATAGATCAACCGAAGACAACTTAATCGACTTGGGAACAGAAATCCTCGCCGCATTCGTAAACAACCAAAAATGTCTAGCAGTATTCTTCAACATCACTAGAACATACGATTGTGCCTGGAGCTATATTAATTTAAAACAGCTCATTGCTTGGAGACTTCAATAATGCAATATCCTAATATTTATTCAAAACCTCCATGCAAACTAGAAAATTCCAAGTTTGGGTAAACGGTTGATAAAATAACCCAAGAGCATGGGACACCACAAGGATCAGTCCTAAGTGTCACCCTTTTCCTAGCGGTAATCAATAGCATCGCCAATCAAATAAAATCACCTCTCAAATTTCGTCTTTTCGCCGAAGACTCGGTTTTAACAATTGAAGGAAAAAATCTACAATTCATGACCAAGTCTGTAGAAGAAATACCAGCCTAACTAAATATGACAAAACACAAATACAGAGTGGCAAGATACTTGTAACTTTTTAATTACCTCGTTTACGAAAAAATTACTGCAATGAAAGTTGCTCAGTAATATATTTCCCACATTTCTACCCAGACGAATTGTTTCTGTCACTTCTGGATTCTTTGCTATCCAGAACAACTTTGTTTTTTCAACTGAAACACCCTGTATGTGGTTGCATATTTGGATTTTACGTAAAATTCTGAGCAGATTTCATGTGATATCTACCCTATACCCAAGTTCAACTGTTCTGGAAATATTGACAGTTGAAAATTGACGTTTTTGCAACTTTGACAGGCTGTAAAACCTAAACGGTTAATTTTAGAGGAAAACCGATATTACATTGTTATCTTAGATTTCCATAAACTTTCATTTAACCCCAACTTTGAATTTAACCGGAGATTAAATTTAACCGGAATTTTTGATTATGGATTAAATTCAAAGTTGGTTTCAAATGATTGTTTGTTTGGTAGAGATGGACATACAGTCGTGAGCACAAAAAATGGGACACCCGATTTTTCCTATTGTGAAACGGGCTCACCAGCTTCACACTCGACAATGACAGGGATTGTCATATTTGACAAAAAAACCGTTGTACAAAAAAGACTGATTAACAAAAATAGCAAAAAATGAACTGTCAGTCCGGTGTCCCACTTTTAAAACTCACGATTGTAGTATTGTAACGATTGAAATATTTAAAACAAAGTTAGGTTGTTTTTCTAATCTCCGAGTTTTCCGGACATTGTTCTGAATTCCAGCTGGACTTCTCCGGTCACCCTAAAAACCTAAACATGTCCGGGTAAATCCGGACGTATGGAAACCCTACTCTTCTAAAGCTTAAAGTTGAAAAAGATGCATTGAAATCCTATCCTTGGCTTTACAAGAGTCAAAATTGAAGCTTGAAACTCCTTTATTGACTTCAAATTTGTTGATTGTTGCTATTATTGAGCAATTCGGTTGCATTAATTTTATATTTAATGGAAACACCGTTGCAAATACTCGCCTACTAAAACTGTACGCTAGTTTACTGGTTGTTCACGACAAGTTGACAATCTCTGAGTTGTCATTGTGACCAAGTCACGTGTTCCATGTTCAAAACCGATAATTTATCCTAAATAAAGTATCTCTATATTGTTAAATTGGATCAGTGTTATTGAATAATCTACAGGTTATGGGCCCAGTGCTTGAATCCCGTAAGGTCCTACAAAATGTTACAGAGCCATTTGATGGAAATGGTTACTCTAACTGGGAATTTAGACTTGAATTGTTGTTAGAACACCAAGATGTATTAGACATTATAAGTATGGACCCACCTAATCCATTATCATGTGAAATGGTAAACTTCAAGAAAAAAGGCAAGAAACTTTAATCATGAATTGCCTATCTGATAATGTGCTGGAAATCATAAAAGGAAGACCAACAGCCAAAGAAATAATGGGAACATTAAGAACATATGTACCTACAGTTCGTTTCACCAGGGTTCATACTTGACCTTGAAACTTGAAAAAAAAAGGGTTGTCGTAGATTAATTCATATGACACATTCAATTTTTTGACAAATTTAAATGAATGACTTCTGGTTTAAGAACCGACGAACATTTTTGACGTCATTGATTTGTTTCAGTCAATTTTTATTTGTTAAACAAGGAAGGCAAATGCTGGTGGCAAGTACAAACCCTGGTGAAACAAACTTTATATGAAAACAGGTGTTGCAAGTCAAATACACTTGCAGTGAAAATTAAGAAACTTGAAGTTTTCTGGAAAAGAGCCTTTAAATGACTTTCTCATGGAATATGAACGAGCCGTGTCTGAACCTGAACTAAGAAACTGTGGTGGTTCTATTGAAGAGAATGAAGTGATTTCACAGTTGCTTGTTATAATGCCTGACTCCTATCAGGGCGCGACAACAGCACTTGATGCGTTATTTTGCCAAGGAAGTACAGTTACATTAGAGTTTGTTAAAAGAAAGCTGTTATCAGAAGAAACAAGACAAATAAAAAATGATATACAAGAACAAGGCTTGACTCAAGCTTTCACAGAATTTAGTAAAAAATGGAATAAAGGAAACTACAATAGAACTGGGGATTGTAGAGGAAATCAAAATAATGCAGGAAATTCATGGAAATAGTCTTAGATAATTTCCAATGAAATGTCACTATTGTGGTATTAAAGGCTATAAAAGATCACAATGTTTTGAAAGACAAGAAGATATGAATAAAAATAGATGTAATTTAACTAAAGAACACTCGGAACAACACGAAGAAGATGTGTCCATCATCAAAGTTAAGCAACTGTTTGGTGACTTTTGTTGTTGGCAATGGGGCGGGCAATCACCTTGTGAACAAAAGTGCTGGCAAACATTTAACTGATCCTAGAAATGTACATCACAAAGTGCATGTGGCAAAGGTTGGAGAAGTGATAATTGGAAAGAAGCAAGGAAATCTATATTAACATGCTGAAAATGGAAAAAGTATCCTTGAAAAGAATGTCATAGAATACGAAAATTTGTCAAAAAGTCTGTTTAAAAAAGAATACAGTCAAAGTATTACAAGGAAAACAAAATATTGCTGAAGGAGAATTACAAAATTATCTCTACATCATAAATTTTAATGTTAACATGCCTGTGACATCAGTGCAAATGATTAAAATGTATAGCACAGAAGACTGAGTCATTCATACACTGACAAAAAAAGCTACACAAATATAACGAAAAAGGTGCATTAAGCCAGTAAATCTCGTCATTAATAGAGAGTTATTGGACGTGCAATAAGGATAAGCAGTATTTAAATTAGCCTTATTTTGACATCTACGCATGCGCATTTGGGTCTGAAAATAAGTATTTCCCTAATAAGGTTACTGCTTGTCTTTATTTGTGTATGGTTAGTGCAAGGCAGTAAACTTTCCTTATTTCAATATTTCTGACATTTTTGACGACTTGACGTTAAGCTTTTCGACGATGACGTAATTTTAGTAGAGAATTTGTTTTTTACAACAGTTTTTCATTTTACTCTAGGTAACATCAAAAAATGGGTATCAGCAGAAAATCACAAACAAAAATAAACACTTTTTGAGGTTGAAATTTATAAACATAGCTGAAACACCTACTACAGTCTTTCAATAACTGTTTTTTTCTTGGAAAAATAGTGCTGATGCACTAATAAAATAACGTAGATCCTTAATACTTCGAGGCAGTATTCAATAGTTCCAATAACTCTCTAAATTGAGCGGGTGAACGAAATTATAAATATTATGAAAAGCTGTTCGTTAAATAGATGAAAAAAAGTCAAGTCAGGATTCTATCATGTTGACGTATAGAATTCGTTGCCTGAGTGAAATAACGTCTTCAATATAATGTACAGGGTGTTTCAAATTCGAGCCACATCATTGGGATCTCAGAAACGGTGAGAGATACAGGGCTGGTTAAATTAGGGCAAAGTTGCGTAATTTGATGCTTACCAAAATGCCGCTTTGATATTTAGGATATTCCGAATACTTCCAGAGATATTCGCAAAAAATTGTTTGCATTTTTTCCTGACTTTATTTGAAGTGAT